AACAGACTTGGATTTATTGGAAGAATAGGCTTTATACTTAACAAATTGTGATCTATATTTAATAATCTCTTTCCCTCCCACATATCTTGAAAACGAAAACCGAATGAAATTAGTAAATGTGAAAAGTTTACTAAAAGATCATCTAGTAAATTGTGCTTCCCAATTACTCCAATACAAATTAAAGAGTTGATCAGATTTTAGATCCACTATTTTTGAAAGAACCAGGTTAGACATGAAGATGAACCACCTCATAGCATTTTATGAAAGTTCATAAAATCAATGCCACGATCACGGCCAAACGGGTATGTCCCATGCGGACCGCGACGGCAGGCCAAGATCCGGGATCTCGAAGAAGCTTAGTCAAGCTTAGGTTTTTCATGGGGTTCCATGATCACATTTGGCCTAGTAATCAAATAAAACCAAGTCAAAGAAATTAATCAAGACAAATGAGAACAAGCCAAAGAGAAAAAAGAAAGTCTCAAATTTTAAGCATGATTGAATGTGAACATAGGACAAACAAAGTTTCTTTGTGATGTATAAATCAAAAATCCATCTAGTAAGAAAATAATTGCAGAGAAGCTCAATTGACTATCAAACAGAAGCGGTGAAAAACTGAAAATTATATCAAATCGAACGGAACTCAGAGTGCAAAATAACACCAATCAGTACAATTTGCTTCCTAAATTGAAATAAAATGATCATAAAAATGCTTATGCTTATATACATATAAAAGAAAAAAATTGCACCATCATTGCTACAATTCTCAATAATGAAGAAATATAAGGTAATGAAACTTTAACATTTTTTATGTTCTAAATCCCTATTGGGTGAATTGAACTGCAAAAATAATATTTAGAGGGACATATGAGTAGAAATCAAACAAAGCAATTGAGTATCAGCTCAAACAAATTAACTTCAATGTATTAAAATGATATCCATGCATTTACATGAGGCAAAATCAAACACGAATAGGATTATATCTCAATAACTTTCGAAGATGATTAGCAACACCAGGAGAGAAGGAAAAAAACGAACACTTTCACTGAATTGTGAAACGCCCAGCGAGAACTTCCGAAATTCATTCACTTCCCAAAAAAAATAAAAAGGATTAGAAGAAGGTGAATCTAGTTTCTTTTTTTACTCTTTTCAATGTTCTATTTCTTCACTACTGATCTCGCTCTTATTCTTCAATTCTCTTTTTCTTCACTGGTCAAAATGTGCTATCTGAGACGGCAACTCCGGAAGATGCTGGCTTCATCCGATCTCAGTTCTCGGGTTTCACAGTAGGCTTTGTCATATTTTCAAATTGAAGCTCTGATTGACTATTGGATTGTAACGGTGCAATTGATTTTCTTCAAACTTCAGCTGAGTTCACCTGTATGACCCTTCGTCTATATTTCACGAGCACTGATATACGACTTTTGAGCTACATGGAAATGAATATCCTTCTAGTTATTAGGACTATAAATTATAACATAGTAGTCAGTATATTCTACAAGAATAATCTTAACCATTCTCTCCTATCTCCATATTAACATTATTAATAAAAAATAGATAGACTTACAACAACAACAAAATTTAGCGAGTATATCTTAAGCTCATCAACGGGAG